GGCAGGGGCTGGCGTTGGCCTCGGGCTCCTGCGAGTGCCACAGGTTCAGGGAGGGAAGAAATCAGAGAGGCTCTTTCTGCCGGTCGCCGAGGCTCGGGTGCAGCGTGCCAGGCGGGGTTTGGGAGGGAGGGTGGACAGCCTGAAGGCCTGGGTTGGACCCTGCTAAGCTGCCATTGCATTTGAGCGTTCATGGCCTCCGAAAGAGATGCTTACCTCTAACTGAACTTATCCTTGCTTAATCTTTTCTTTTTTTCCCCGCTCTGCTGCTTTTTTGTGTTCTCAGAGGAAGGAGGAATGCGCGAACGAGAAATCAGGTATTTACTGGAGGCCCGTCTATGAGACGGAGTAAATTAACCAGAGAGATGCAACTGTACTCTACTGGAAAAAACAACCAAACAAAGCTCCTAAGGAAAATAAACGTCCACTTAGGCAGTCAGACACAGCTCACATTCCCCCTTGAGCTCCTTCCATCAGGGGCCCGGAGAGAAGCAGCTTTGAAACAAAAGCCAAAACTCATCGCAGGTTCAGACACAGGCAGTTCATTTCATACAGTATGGTGTTTTGGTTTTTTTTTTTTTTTTAGCATCTGCTGACAATGGCTCTTTCTTTAGGCGGAAATATTGTTGTCAGCTCTGTTACTGGAAGCTTATTTCATCAGATGGGTATAGCACAAGTTTTATTTCAGCTCAGTGTTATACCTTTGAAATGGAATAGCTGTGATCTCATCGCATCAGTCCCCTGTCTCAACTAGATAGTGAGAAGCAGTCTTTCACACACTTTATGAAAGCTTTTTTGTGCATAATTGACTGCACATAGTACACTCACCACTTTTTGATGGCTTGATGCGTGTAACACCTCCTTTTCTTGCCTGTCCTCTTACTAAACTCAATGGCACTGATTTTCAAATCTCTGTTTTTGCAATCTTTAATGCATTTCCCGTGCTTTGTTATCAACAAACCAGTAATCTTTTACTTTTGCCTTTCCTTTCATGAAGGATTCAGGACAGGCTATTCCACTTGTAGTAGAAAGCTGCATTCGTTACATCAATTTGTACGGTAAGTTGATTCAGTAATATCAACAGAAACTTTCTGCAAAGGAAATCAAGTACTTGTAGTTAGCAGTGAAATATAGTAGAGATGCCCACAGCCCTTGCTACATGGGCTCAGGTTATATTTACAGTGGCATTGACTGTGATGTAGCATTGGATGACTGGCAAATATTTAGGTCCTGGTAGCACTTATTCAGGTTAAATTGTTCGTTCAGGCTCCAGGCTGACGGGAGCCGTTTCAATGCTTCGATCTTGGGGGGCCTTGATTGGAGAATATGAGCAGAAATGAATCGTAGCAGGGTGTCCCCTTCTTGCTCTGAGCCTTTCCGGGTGCATCGACTCCTAGTTTCTGCTGTTCTTTACCAGAAAGTACCGTGTAACAGTTATAAATCTTTTCTAAAACATTGTTCTTTTCCAGGCCTTCAGCAGCAGGGCATTTTCAGAGTCCCTGGCTCCCAGGTGGAAGTCAACGACATCAAGAATTCGTTTGAGAGAGGTGTGTTGCCAGGGTGTGCAGCCACAGCTGGGACGCCGTGTCTGAGCAGAGATCGTTGGTGGGAGTTTGTGTGTGTTGGGTGCATTAGATGTTGTGTAAAGCCTGTGCTAAAAGCCTTTCTGCTACAAGACACCAGGAGGTTTTATCCCCTTCTAGGTATCTCAGTATTGTATCTCCAGCAATAGCGAAGAGTCACTTAAGGAAAGAGTATGAGAAGTAGGGGTAGGTGCAGAGATCTCTTCCACAGTCATTAATTAAGAGCATGAAAGCCTCACATGAGAGCCATAAAATAGTTTGTTGGGGATCCATTTTCCTCCTTCCTGCACCGGTTTGTCAAGGGAGGAGCAGCATTGCCACGTGTACCTGGTGCAGTGTTGGTTGTGGAGTTGCCAGTGATTCTGTTGAGAAAATCACATCGAAGGTGCAAGGCTGGCAAGACAGGGCAGAGCAATCCTGCTGTCACCGGGTGAAGGTGAAGCTGTGAAAGGGACAGCCTAGATGGGGGTAATGGCCTCCATGGCATTAATCTTTGAGCAGCATCGGGAGGATCAGGGTAAAGGTGGCCAGGCCAATGAATAAGGAGGTAATGGGCCTTATCAAAGGCTGGAGGATTTGCACATCCAATTTAAGAGGAATCGGTATCCAAATCCCTTAAGTTTTGAAAGCCTTTTGTAGATTTAAGTCAGTACAATGCTATCCAGAACCGTTCAGTCTATTCCAGAGGCATAATTGCATCCTCCAGCCAAGCCTGTCTTCTCAGGCTTTCACCCACCATCGTTTAGATCTGCTCAGATTTCTGAGCTGTTGCCGTAAATGCAAAAGTGCACTGGGCTGGAAACTGTGAAGGAGTACCGATTAATAACATCTTCAGGAAAGGTTTAAAATCTCCACAATAAACTGGGCTATAGCATGTCTCAGCATGATGCTATCAGAGTCCCTTATTAAACCCTCCTCTTGCTGGCAAAATGTGTAGCATCACCATTACACACACAGGAGGGTTTTCTGAGCTGTGGGAAATTTTGGGTTTCCACTGCGTTAGGAAAAAACACTCGCTGTGTTAGTCCAACTTGACAGTAATGCTGGAAATAAAAACTCTTCTCTGGGCAGGTGAAGATCCCCTTGCTGATGATCAAAATGAACGTGACATTAATTCAGTGGCTGGAGTCTTGAAGCTGTATTTCCGAGGACTGGAAAACCCCCTCTTTCCTAAGGAAAGGTTTCAAGATTTGATATCTACTATAAGTAAGTACATGTGGCAGCTCTTCTCAGAGAATAGGGTGGGACAAGAGAACCCATAAATGGGGAGCAAATACACCTGAGTTTTGCAAATAGTAGCTTATGCTGTAAGAAGGGCTATAGGTCTGCAATGGAAGTTGTTAGGAAAAGACTTTAAGTGTGCATTGGCAGCGAGGGAGGCGAGCCATCTTGCTGTGGCTCTTTTAAAATCTTACTAGCATCATGAGGATCACCAGAGTCATCTCCAAGCTTAGGCCAGTGGGCTGCTTAAGCTTAGGCTTAAGCCCATATACACATTCGCCCATATACACTGATGACAAGGGGTCATTAGTTGCTTGAACAGGGTTGGCTGCTGTCCTGCCTGCACAGATCTCTGCGGGTAACAGCGGTTCCTGTGCCTGCCCATCACATGTCAAGCAGCCATGGCTCCTGGGACCCAAAGAGGTTTTGCTGCTTTAGCTCAGTGTCTTCTACTAAACATAAAGTGGAGGTCAGTAACTCTTGGCTACTCAGAAAGCTTCTCTGACCCTTGAGCCTGCAGACTTGGTTTCAGCCTCACTTGTTCAGCTGTTCTCCAAGTGTTTGCTATGTGCGTTTCCTGTACCAAAGAAAACCAGAAAGTGCTCTGGGATGTGAGCAGAGGTAGAAGCTGAGGGTTTTTAATCGTGAAGGGTCTGGGATTGATGTCAGGGAGAGCCTGGTTGCTTCTTGTTCTGTCCTGAATTCTCCTCCCGGCTCTACTTGTTCCTCTGCAACTGAAGAAACAGATATCCCAGCTGGGGTTTATTTCTCTCAGTACCTTGTAGTGATGACATTTATTCATTGGCAAGTTGTGGAAATTACTCCCCTGGGGGAAAGGAAGAAGACAGAATGAATTTGGTGTTTCAGAGATGATGGAGGAGCGTGTTGCGCACTTTGGCTACAGGATGACTTCATTTTACAAGAGAGGCATTGGGGTTGTTTGGGGGTTCGAGTGTCTTGGTATGTGGGTAGCTTCAGGGGGACTGACTGGTGAACATGTGCTGAAGTCCTTCATTTGGCTTTCACTGCCCATGGCTCCTTCCCCCCTCCTTAACGTTAATGTGCATAACTGCTAGAGATTTAGTGATGTCAAGAAAGACAGATGATATCTAGAGGGGAATGACGCAGGGATGGGCTTGTTCCAGGAGAAGAATTTCCTCTTATTTTTCAAGAACAGTTGTTTTATATAGTAGCTTTAGGAAATTGGCTGTTGCCTTTCGGTTTTGATGTGTAAAACAGCACAGCCCACCTGTAACACGGCAAACAAAGGAAGCTGTTTCTGCACCAGTTTCGTGCCCTGGACAGGGATTTTTAACCTGGCTTGCAGCGCTCGCTCCGGCTGCCCTCCCCGAGGGGCTTGCAGCAGGCAGAGTGGGGAGCCTGAGAGGGCACAGCCCGCAGAGAAGGAGACGAGTCCCCTTCAGTGCCAGGAAATGTTCCTGGTGCTTGGTAATGTGACTGTCTGTGTGCTTGCAGATAGGCTTGTGCTTTGGAACCATCCCTAATTAATGCCAATTTGCACAATTTATTAAGCTTTTGGGAGCTTTTCATTGCAAACATCATCTGTTAATTTTCTGGACAGTATTCTTTTCTCTCTGTCTTTATTTTTTCTCATTTTAGCAAGAATCTTCCTTTTCCTCATCTTTCCTTTCTTTTCCTGCTGCTGTTGCTACCTTTCGATTAAGGATAGATTTAAAATGAATTAAAGTGCCTTGTTCCCATTAAAAATCTGACCTTAAGTGCATCTGATTTTCTGCCTCATAAATATAGCCTGCAAATAGGTGTCCCAACCTAAACAGATTGAAGAAACCTTCTTCCTTTGAGAACTGCTGCTCAGTAAAATGCCACCCCTACTGTAGGATATTCTGTCTCATTTTGTAATTACGGCGGAAAGGTTAAATGCAGCCAAGCGGTTTGGGCTCTCCCCCGCAGTGCATCACAAAGCCACCTTGATTTCCCTTGGCTCCTGGTAAGGTATTCTGAGCGAGTTTTTTGCAGCAGGTGCTGCTGCGCATGTCGAGGGCCTCTGAGTGCCCCTGGAAGGCTGCAGAGCCACATCATTCCCTGCCGCTGTGACGGGGAAGCCAGGCTTGCTGGTGACAGATGAAAGGCTGGCTTTTCCTTTTGCCTTATGGGACTGAGAATTTACATGGAAGCATTTCTCAAATACACATGAGAAATAGATGGACAGAAAAGGCACTTTGTTTGCAAAGGTTCATTCAGGGGTGTGCCTGTATTGTCAAGTGATTGATAATTACTCCATTAATTCCTCTGAATTACAGCCAGTTGAAACATTTCTGCTAAGTGAAAAAAGGCAAGTGCTTCAAGACAATTTGTTCCTCTGGGTTTCAGAACAGGTATCTGTTGTTGTAGGTTTTTATCCAGTTCTTACTTATTAATTTTTTTTTTTTACAAATGTCCTCATAAGTGAAACCAAACTGAAGAAGTAGAGAACCCAGTAAGCAATAACAGGGGATAAATACATTCCTCAAAAGGAAAAATTTCCAAAATGAAATATTGTAAAGATTTCAATCTTTGGACTGAAGCCAAATTTTGCTCACAATTTTTGAACAAATGGCAGCCCAACTACATGTTGTCAGTGAATTTTGTTATGATTAGCAAATGTCAAAGTTTGAGCCAGCATAATAAAGTAAGCATCTCTCCACTGATGTGACTTATTCCATGCATCTGAGGCTGACTGCTCTCAGGAAAGCTTTGGTACTCTTTGTCTGCTTTCTGTAAAAAAAAAAAGCCACGGGATTAACTATCTACATAATATATCGAACAGATACTAGCTTAAAAAAATAGAGTAGCTTTGCGGGCTGAAATGTGCTGCCAGCTGCTGCAGGAGCGGCGCTGAGCCCCCTCAGTGGGCCGGTGCTGGAGCGGGGCTCTCGCAGCTCTGCAGGTGAAGGAAGCTGCTGCGCGGGGCTGCAGGAGGGTGGGGGGACGGTGTGGGGTCCCTGGGCGAGTCAGCTGGCACTGAAAGCAAGATCGCTCTAAGTCACCCTCCTTCCTACAGAAGGAGGCTGGTTTCTGATAGCAGCTGTGGGCTTTGCGCACTGCCGTGGAGAGAAGTGAATCTTAAAGTGCTGACTTAGAAGCGGTTCGGATTAAATTCCCATTAAGACCAGTGGGAGACTTGAGCAGAAGGGCTCAGAAGGACCTGATGGTTAACCCATAAGAGTAACATGAATAAAAACCTCATTTAAAAATCTGCACTAGAAAACAAAGCAGTGCTCCATTTTCCAGTGCTGTATTGACTCAAGCTTTTGAGAAGTAAAATAGTTGTTGAGGAATAAACTAAATAATGTATAAACAGTTATTTTAAAAATAAAACCATGGAAATGTCTTTATTTGCTGTTTATACTGAATCTGAACATACATGTGAATTCACCTGTGGAAGAGCACTATGCCCCATTCTCTGCTTGCACTTTAGTGCCAAACCAGTGCATCAAATCTGGAAACGGGCTATTGCTTTCATTGCATAGTGGGCTGCTAGATCTGGAACAAGTCCGTCTGGTGCCATGTTTGGTCCTGAGAAGGTTTAAAGATGTGCTTTCTATCCATGTGTTCCAGAAATCGAGAACCCCACTGAGAGAGTGCACCAGATCCAGCAAATCATCGTCACTCTGCCCCGGGCTGTCATCGTTGTCATGAGATATCTTTTTGCTTTCCTTAATCAGTGAGTCTTTTTTTTCTCTTTCACTGAGTTTCTCCTTACCCTCCTTTTTTTCAGGGCTTCCGTGTCTTTGCTGCATGAGTCCTTTTTGGTATTGCCATGGGGAGTTGTATTTTGCTCCTTCCTCAGCCTTGCCTAGCCATGGCTGTGTGTTCAGGGAGGATGTAAAGCTCGGTGATGATTGCTTTCTTGGGCAGTGGGGGTTTGTTGGTGGGAGATTTTTCTGAGTGAACGGGGAAAATCGGCACTGCACCTCCGTAACACTTGTGCTTGCAGCTTGTCGCAGTACAGCGATGAGAACATGATGGATCCCTACAACCTGGCCATCTGCTTTGGGCCCACTCTGATGCACATTCCAGATGGGCAGGATCCGGTGTCCTGCCAAGCCCATGTCAATGAGGTCATCAAAACCATCATCATTAACCATGAGGGCATCTTCCCCAGCCACAGAGATCTGGAAGGACCTGTCTATGAGAAGTGCATGACTGGAGGGGAGGAGTACTGGTAAGGAGCGGGGGCAGGACTTCATTGTTTGCAGAACTTAACCTTAACAAGGGGATCTGGCTTTATCTTCTGGCATTGTACATTAAGAGTGAACCTGTGACAAAATGCAGGGCTTTGGCTTGATTCCTAGTAGACAGAGAATTGACCCCAGCTCACGTGAGTGTAGGAGAAGGGCTCTTGGGAGCAGATCCCCGAGAGGATGGGGTGTGAGGAGAGCTTTGGGAAGTTCTTAATATTCAGGGCAGCTGAGCACAGTGCTGGGGTGAATTTGCCCCTCTGTAGAAGGGGCATGCCTCTTTGCATGTATTCCTGTTAAATGTTATGAATTAGGTGTGCAAGTGATACATATTTGATATGCTTGTACTGTTTTACACTGGTTAAGAATCTTACTCCATACCAGGCTGTCTGTGTGGTTCTTAGTTATAAATACCTTCATAAAACTAAGAGGTTTTTGCACACCTAACCAATTAGTCTCTACTTGTATACGTCCATTTTGCTTTTCATTTTAACCTTGCTGGTGAAAACAGAGGCAGTTTCACTGAGGTTTTTTTTTTCATTTTTCTCATGCTGACTCAGCATTACAAACCTCAGTAGAAACTTCAGGAGAAAATTGTTTCCAACATGGATATTAATATTTATAAAAAATCTTTTAGCTGCAGATTCACAGAAGTGTGTTCAGAGCAAAACAGAATTTTAGGTTAATTCTAACCAAATTCCTCTTAGGCTGGAATTTTTGAGTAGAGTCCCATAGTTCCATCATAATTGCATAAGTTGGATGAAATCCCTTAGCCCAAAGTTAACCTGAACCTTCCAGCTCCTTTTGTTTTGTCAGCATTAGAAGACAGATGAGTTTGTATTAGCTAGGGATGGGATCAGCCGTGTGCGATTGCATTGCATCGCGTCTTCCTGGTGCACAATTTGTCCTACTTGGTATACCCAGAATAGGAAAACTCCATAAACAAACTCCCACATTAGAAGTGTAAGTGATATTACACATTTGTCTTAGAGGATGCTGGAATTCTAAACTGACATTCAGATCTGACTTTTAACAAACCAGTATTTATAACAGATTTGAACTGATTCACGTGCAGGTTTTATACATTTCTGAGACCTAGTCTTCCCTGACACTGATCACCTGCCACCATCCTTACTAATGCAAGCGGGGGATAAAATACTAAAACTCATTGTGAATGAGTGAGTGGAACATTCTAACTTGGTGTCACTTTATATTTTTTTTACCAAATACAAGTAAGATGCATGAGCAACAGAATGTGATGTTCTGGGCCTGAAGATCGTGGTGCGAGTGTCTGCTGTTCTCAAAGCAAGTTCAGAGATCTGCTGTGATTTAAAATGACTATCTCAGTCCTATAGAAACTAAAACCATAACTCTTTCAAGTGTCACTGGGGCTGGAATTTCCCTCAACAACTTACTTTTGCTAAGTGCCTCGGGAACAGAATCTCATTCTTTCTTTGAAAGCACGGTGTATTTTATTTCAGCGACAGCCCGCACAGCGAGCCAGGCACCATTGATGAGGTTGACCATGACAACGGCACGGAGCCACACACCAGTGATGACGGTGAGCAGAGACGTGAGCACAGACAGAAAATCGGGTCTGTGTTAGAAAAGCTGTGCATGCAGGAAAGCAGTGTGCACTTTGCTCCTAGTCAGATTAGGGGCTGGACTAGCGGCTGGCACTTTAGTGGGGGACAGTGTTTCTGTGTGCTTGGTAATGCATATGCGTATTAATAGATGTTGCTTATAGGTTTTTATCATAGGATGTGCATGGCCTTTCGCAGTGGCCTGACTCCATGGCAGGGTGCAGGGGCTGGTTTTTTGGAGCTGTTCTGTGAGATTCCATTAATCCCATGTGTGACTTCTTTTTCCTTTTCCTTGTCATCTGTGCTTACATGCAGCCATGCGGTGAGGACACGCTGTGTGAAATGGCTTACGAGAACAGGAGGGGAGATGGGGAGCTGATGTGGCAGGGGACCAGCTCTGTTCACTCCGGGCCCTTGGATGCACTGTGGGGAAAACAGTGAATGTCAGTGCCTCCATTGGGGGTCCTCTGAAGTGAGGGGGTCTTTCAGCTGTTTTCATTATGTTGTTGATCATCCCTGGTCAAGCAGCCATCTCCTTGGCAGAAACTAAATGCCTCTGTACTCGAGTGAGCTGCAGCCTGGTTTTCCCTGCAGTCTGTTCTGTTTCCTTTGGTGACGAAACGCCTGCGCATGCCTGCTTGTGTCAGGCCCATGGAGCTGGCTGGCTTCAGGGGGGCGAAGCAAGACGTGTTGTGAGCCAGGACCGTGCGGACGGGTGCAGCCAGGTGTGAATCCCTTGCAATTGGGTGCATCATCAGTGTTTCGTAACCCTCTGGAGGAGGCTCAGGTCCAGCTTTCTGTAAGCTTGTATCTGCCTGCGCTTCTGGGTAAACCAGCTCGGAGTTTCACGTATGGGCTCTCAGTAAAAGCTTTGAAGCTCACGGTGATCACAAAGGCAGGCGTGGAAACGGGGGCGCTGGCAGAGCTGGGCAAGAAGCGTGTTCGCTCCAGGGCACAGTACCAAAGCGGGAGGATGCATTGTGCCTCCCGTGCCCTGGAGGCACCGGTAGCTTGGCCACGGGGCGAGTCCGGGAGATCCCACTGGCACTACTGAGGGGCGGCGAATGTGCGACCCCACGACACTGTTTAATGGCAGGACTATGCCGTGTGGAAGGGCACTGGGGAGCTGAATGCCTCTCCTGCTTTCCTGATGGCCACTGTTTCCTTGGGTGTGTCCTGCCCTGACAAAACACTGACGCCTTCCGAGGCTGGCGGGTGGCAGGAGGGCTTGCCTGGCTGGCTGGCACCGCGGGGAGGGGAAGGGCGCAGCTGGGCCAGACAGCTCAGGACCTGCTTTCAGGTACAGACAGGAGCCGACAGGACTAGAAGATGAAGGAGAGCAAGCTGCCATTTAGCCAATTTTATGCTTGGGTGGTCACATTAGTGGCTCTGATTGGAGTTTCTGGATGATTAACTGCGGTGCAAGTGTGGAGAAGAGGAGCAGCTTTATTTTGTGAATTTACATATTCCTTCTTCACCTCTCCCTCGCCCCATGCACCCTCCCTGCTGGGAGACTCAACATTTTACCAGGGCTGTGAGAGCCCTCCTGGTTTCCTCCCCTGCTGTGTTTCCTCCAGAGCATTCCCCCTTGATCCTGCTGTAGTGCTCCCAAGCGCCCTGCTGCTCGTATTGGTGTGGGTGTGTATTTTAAGCTGGGGAAAATCAGTCTGCTGAAACGACCTGTCCTGTCCCATGTGAGGTGGGGAATGGGGCAGGGGTCTGATGCAGAATCTCCCATGACCTCCTCCGGTGTCTCCTCCTCTGTGTGGGTTTTGTCGCTGAGTAGAGCATCCTGATTGCTGCTGATGCCAAGCCTGTGGTTAGTGACGAGGCAGACGGAGCAGAGCAAGTTTCCATGTTTTAATGGGAGTGTGACAGATCTGGAGGAACTGGGCGGATTTGCCCTGTTTAGCTTTGTCATTGCCTGTCTGCCAGTCTCCAGGTGGGGTTTAAAATGACCAGGTGTCTCAAATAATCAAGGTACATTAACTGCTTGCTTGCTGGCTCTGATAGTGGCTAGAGGTAGTTGGGTGGTGGCAGCCTGCTTTTTCACCCCTGTCTCAGAGAGAAGTGAGGCAGAGTGCTGCTCCTGCCAGTGAGGAGAGAAATGCTGTCACCGCTTTGCAATCGCTGTGGTTTCTCCGGGATTCAGTGCTCCCAGCTGGACACAGATTTGCAGAAGAGCTGGGCTCCTCAATGCCAACCAGGCTCCTCTTTGGGTGCACCAGCAGCTCCCACTGTGATGCCCTTGGCCAGGGGCTCAAAGGTTCCTGGTGGGCTCATGACCTCCCAGAGTGAAGTCATGCCTCAGCCCTCTTGAATTTCAGGCCCTGAGCTCCCAATTTGTGAATCCCTGGTGTTCGGTAGAGCTTAAATTAGGAAAAGTTGAGAAGCAGTGAGATAGAGTGCTGGGAAGGTCTGCAGATGTGGGGGTGTGATGCAGAGCAGTTGCCTGGCCAGAGCCGGTATCATTGTTTCTATGGGGATTTGTTACTTGTCAATAATTCAGGCCAAACTGTCTCCAGGATAAGGAAAGGAAGAGAAGGTAAGTGGGGCTTTGATCACAGTATCTGACACAGCTTGACAAGATCCCAGTCTGGAGGATAATGGGGTTCTGTAACCAAAGAAATCACTTTATAGGTAAAAAATGGGAGTGTTGGTGACGATGCCATATGCACACAGGGAAATTTCAACTACTCCCCATCTGGTTTGTAGCTTTTTGTAATTGCTGGTAGTTCGTGGTCTGTGAGAAATTCCAGGAAGGCTGGAAGAACAAAAAGAATTGATCAGTCTAAAAATAAGATGGTTTGTACTCAGTGTAAGATGCTCTCGGGAAGCTAGGGCAGCAGCATTACTGCTGTTCTGGCAAGATGTCTCTTTCTAGGATTTATTGTGCTCTCATGATTGTTGAACTAAGCTTTTCTCTATTTGTGCTTCTCTCCTTTGCAGAAGTGGAGCAGATTGAAGCCATAGCAAAGTTTGACTACATTGGACGATCTCCACGAGAGCTCTCCTTTAAGAAAGGGGCCTCACTCCTCCTGTACCATCGGGCATCAGAAGACTGGTGGGAAGGGAGACATAATGGTGTGGATGGCCTCATACCCCACCAGTACATTGTGGTGCAAGACATGTGAGTAAAGTGGCGTGTGTTGATCCAGGATGTTAAAATCACATACCTACACAAGGTCCACTTTAGCCACCTAAAATAGGGGGTCAGATTTTCCAAGGTTTAATGACTTTGGTGAGAAATCTGGACCTGTTCACATCTGCCTCGCCATGTGTTGGCTCAGATTGTTTCTCGTTCAAGCCAAGCACTATAAATACTGTACTTCAGTGTGCCTGAACCCCATCTCTCATTGACTCCTAAGAGGGGTCCTTCACAGATGCCGCTTCTGTTACAAATACTGAACCTGGATTAATTAAAATGGCAGCTACAGCACAGGGGGATATGGAGACGTGATGTTCACTTTTTCCAAGCTCCAGGTGCTGTCTGAAATGGTGGCCTTGGTCCAGCCCTTTGTTAACAAAGTCTGGAGCTGCTGGAGTGGTGATGTTCAGATCCACATTGTGGCTGGGTCCTAGCCTCTCTCCTGGGGCAGAGCCCTGTTACTGATGGGGGTCTCCTTTTCCTAGGGATGATGCGTTCTCCGACAGCCTGAGCCAGAAGGCGGACAGCGAGGCAAGCAGCGGCCCACTGCTGGACGATAAAGCCTCCTCCAAGAACGACATCCAGTCTCCGACAGATCATATTGTGGACTATGGCTTTGGGGGAGTAATGGGCCGGTAGGGAAACTCTCATTTTCCTATAAACACAGAGGTGGTCACTGTCATATCCTGGGAGAGTCAATGTGTGGTGTAGGGCAAGACAGAAGGGAAGGCTCCAGTAAGCACTGCAGAATAATATAAGCATGGAGGGGATTTTCATGTGCATTGCTAATGTAGACCTTAACAAGTAAAGAAGTTACAATGCTGTCCCTTTCTTGGCACTGGCTAAAATGTCTATCTTCCCTCTTGCCTTAGTCTTCTGGAGCTGAAAGGCTTGAGTTTGGTTTGATATGAACTCTCAGAGCTGAGCAATTGTCTGACAGCATGCAACCAGACACTTTCGATCTGATGGACGGTGACCTAGTCTTGTGATGGATTCTTTGCAGAGTGAGATTGAGGTCTGACGGTGCAGCTATCCCTCGCCGTCGAAGCGGGGGGGACACCCACAGCCCGCCCCGAGGGATGGGTCCTGGCATAGACACTCCTCCTCGAGCAGCGGCCTGCCCTAGCAGCCCCCACAAAATACCTCTTAACAGGGGCAGGATTGAGAGTCCTGAAAAGCGCAGAATGGCGACATTCGGCAGTGCAGGCAGCATCAATTTCCCAGACAGGAAGGCCTTGTCTGATGGCCACCCGCTGAGATCGACCTGTGGATCGACTAGACACAGTAGTCTTGGAGATCAGAAATCTCTAGAAGCAGAAGCGCTTGCTGAGGTAAGAGGGTTGTGAAGTGGCTCTCGGTGCCCAGGGATCGAGAAGCTAAAATAAAATCACTGGCGTAGTGCCACAGAGCCCCTTCCATCTCAACACACTTGAGAATTACAGTGCTGTTGTAGCTGCAATGGTTTGAAGAGAAAAATGAGCAGCTAGCAGCTTGCCTGCTTTTCCAACTGTATTGGTTGGTCTAATAAAAGATACTGCCTCCTTCCACAAACCTTGTTTCTTCAAAAGAATAGGCAGAAGCGTTCGATCCACCACCAAAACGCGCTGGCAGCTCTTACCTCCCGTGGGGAGGGAAGCGCATTATCTTCATCTGATGCTCCATAAGGAGCTTAGGAGGAGAAAACTGGATTTGCCAAATCAGAATTTGACCGATGCTCAGTGTTTGGAGAAAAGTGCTTCAGGTTTGTTACTGGCTATTTGTAGCTAGGACCTCAAAATGTTAGTCTAATCCCAATATGATGCCTCCAGCCGTGCAACATCATCGGCGTCATGTTAGGCCATCGGTTCCATGGGCTCGTTAAATTCATGTTACTTCCAGCATAGCCTGCAGGTCTCCTCTCTCTATGGCTGGCAGGAGGCCCCCAGCCAGGTATCAGTCAGGTTATACCAAACCTGTTAACATCTTGGAGAATGGTCCTTTCACAGAGCTGGCTGCAGAATTCTCCAGCCCCTCAGGGACCACCTAGTTCAGGTACAGTCCCTGTCAATGTGTTCGAACAGCCGTGGGGGGCTGGGAGCGCTGTGGACAGTTCAGCTTCCCTTGTTTCAGCAGTTTACCGGCAGTTTTCTTCGTGCCACCCTCCAGTGGGAGCAGCAGCTGTGGGGCGGTCGGTGATGCCCAGGCAGAGGGGTGCAGCTGCTGGGGAGGCTGCAGCCCACCACCTGGCAGTAGCTCGTGTGCCACAGGGTTTGCCAGGCTGTTTTATGTAGAATCAGCTGCTTTCAGTGGGATAATTAATGATGATTGCAGAAAGGAAGAATTCTTACTGTCCTGTTTGCTTTTCCACCAGCCACGCTCCTTGTTCTCTTGCTCTGCAGCACGCTACCCAGCTTCTCTGTCCGTCAAGAGCTTGCGTTTGGTGTGATCACTTTACAAAGTTATGGTCGTAGCACAGTGCGTGCCCTGCGCGATGGCTCAAGCTGGGGCACTGCGTCTGCCTTGGGACGGGATAACATCATGCACGAAGTCCCTGGGCTCGGCTGATGGCCGAGCTGATGACCCCGCAGCGGTGCCCGGGTGCAGTGCAGGGCTGTGGGGTCCCTCCAGAAGGATGGGTGAATGCTGAGGACGGAGCACGATATGCACAATTTTCTTGGTTTTGGGTTGTTTCTTTAAACTTTGGAAAAGAGGTTCAGCTGATGTAAATAAATACTTACCTTGACGTCTGTAGGACTGCTGGACTTGGTAGTGCTGGGGCTTAGCTCTGGGAGAATATTTTTACTCATTATCTGAACAGCTTAATAGAATTAATTGGAGCTAACTTGGTAATTATTTCCCTTCTGCTGATCCTCTGAACTTTATCTGAAGCTCACCGAGCTTTTTGTACGCATTATAAAATTAAGGACTCGTCTACACAAGGACAGCAAGGAGAGTTAACTAGAGCTACCTTTTAAAGGATTGAATCAGTTGCCTTAAATCACTTTTCAGATGGTCTCCTTCTGAGTTAGTGGCCTTCATTGAGTTAGGGCGGATTTAAGCAAAGCCAAACTAGGACCTCTCTATTTCTGAATGAGACGATCAGCATTACAGTTGTAGACAATTTAGCTAATTTACTTTAAATGGGCACTTCTAGTTGAACTGGGTTCGCCTTCTGGAGGTTCTCCGTGGACGGATCCATGGATGCCGTGCCTAGGAGACATGACCTGAGGTGGGCGGGCGGTGAGGGGCTGGGGACGGTCTCACCTCGGCTGCCTCCCCACACACAGGGAGAGGCCTTGTTGCTGCCTCTCTTTTATTTATGGCGAGCTGCCATCGTGTTGCTCGCTCTGCATACGTGCCTGTGCATTTCTGCCCCACATGTGCCATTGCCCTGTAGACACAGGGACAGCAGAGGTCCCATACATCTGATGGAGGGCCTCCTTTTTTGGGGAAAAAACAGCCTCAGTGCTGCCGAGGAGTGTGGAGATGTCCTGCCTCGTTGGAGATGTGGGCAGGCTGGTGTTCTCCTCATTGCTCGTGGTGCTCGGGGTTTGCTCCCTTTGGAGCTGGTGACCAAACTCCTGTTGACTTGGGAGATG